TGTGTGCATGAATTTTTAATGTTTGATTTGGTCTTGGTGTTTCTATGTATAATATGTATGTTATAAAAAAAAAAAGTTTATATGTATTTATATCAGTTGTCTAGTATCCATAGTACAAGCTCTGCTTAGTTTAGGATTAGATGGCGTTGTGTGAATGTGGTAGAATATTATTATTATCATAAATATGGTCCTAATTTTGAAAAAAAGTGTAAATATTGCAAAAAGGCGTACGATTCGCTTAACTTTAAATTATAACCGGGTTTTTATGAGAGCATCAACACCAGCTTATAACTTGGACGTGGCTAGTATGCAAAATACATAAATGGATACTTTGAATGTTTCTGATGAGATTCAATAATCTTTTTATGAATCTAAAACTGCAGTTATATTCCATACACAGAGTTAAACCAAATGACGTCACTAAAATAGCAGGAAACTGAATCTACATATTACTAATCACCTCAGGAGATTCATCCGGGATTTCCAACCTTATCAGTTAATAAGAATATATCGAGAATTCTTAGTGACGTCACTTAATATCCGATTAAATCGTCCATTCGGTAAAGCGATCGAATGGTGCATAAATATTGCGCAGGCGCCGCCCCCGCGTTGGCATTTTTACACCCGGCGATTATGTGCGCACCTAAGAACGATTCAAACGCTGATCTATAATTTTGATACATTCATGATTTTGTGAATGGAACATTCACGGTGCGATTCATTACGAAATATGTTATTTAGTCATTACTACACCGACGATATAATTTTGTTATTGTTCGGTGGCTTGGTTGATCTTTCTTGTGATATATTTGATATTAGGTTTTAATCCTGAATAATGGGTTTTTTATTTCCTTTAGGTCATTTTTTATTATGTCTGTTAGTTTATAATAATTGTTGATTTGACTTTATAAAAGGTATGAAGATGCATACAGGCAAAAGTTTTATTATCCGTTTAGACATTTGCAGCGGCATTGCAGTTACTTTAACTCAAAGAGAATCTATGGTTGGAAACTCAAATAAAAAAAACAGTGGCTCTCCGAGAGTGCCGACAGAAGTGATTTTTTTTTTGACAGGACCGACATAAATATATATCCATGTTGTACGTACACGCACTACGTAAATGTACAATATATTATAAATAGTTATATTATCAATGTATTTCAATCCAAACTCTACTCTTGTGTAATCTGGCCAATATATGTAGATACTCATATACAGAGGTGTCGGTACGGTCACAGTGTCGCGAGTTCAATGGTTTTTTCCCATCTCAAAAAATACATCTCATGTTTGTTTTTCAAAAATGCCCAACGCGCTTATAGAAGTTCACTCAATTTAAAAAAATCATTAATAATTTGAAAAATTATGTTTTAAGAGTTAAACAGCTGTGAAGTTTGGAATCGAATATTATAGGTACTGTATTTCAAATTTGGAACACTGAATGAATGCTGCAAGAATAACTGCATAAATGTATTGTTTATGGATTTTAGTGTTGCTACAGGAAAAACATCAAAACGTACTCCTAACACTAATATTGACATTTATTTTTAGTTTTAAGTAGATACATAAACTATATAACTTGTAAGATGATCACAGAATTCCTTTTACTGATAGCTTTCATTTCTTAGATACCCAATGGAAGATTTTAATTATCCAACTCTTAAAACTTTATTATCTCCAAAAGCAAATAAAATATCAACAATTTATCGTCTGTAACGTAAATTTAAGGTCTTAATTAAATGAAAGGCGATCTTAAATAAAAAGGGTCTCCTTTTAATGACCAATCAATGCAGCCAGAATGGAGTTATTAAGAGCGGTGTAGAGAAAGAAAAAAATTACAGTCGGTATAAAAGTACAAGCACTGGTAAAAAACCCGCGTAGTCTTTATCTTACTAATATAAAAATGAGAGTTTGAATGGATGTTAGTTAATCACGCTAGAACAGCTGAACAGGTCAGGATGAAATTTGGCACAGTGATAGATATTTATTTATGGTATATGGCGGGAAATGAGCAGACAGGTCACCTGATTTTAAGTGACAATTATATAAATGGCGTTAAAACTAACGGCACAACTGCTGTTTTAATTTAATAATTTCTAGATATGAAACGACAAAATATGTAACGTCACTAGGAGGGGAGAGCCGTAACAAGGATTGGGTGTAACAATTAGAAAATCATGAAATTCGTGTGACGTGATTTATGGATGATTCCTAAGACAGCTAACAAAGAATTATCTTCAGATTAAAAATAACAAAAGTACAAAGACATACATACACCATAAAGGCTATAATTATTACAAGTAATGAAACCATTTATCAACATTTTTTAATTAGTTAATTAAACAACAAAGACCTTTAACACAAATGAAACATAAATAACAATAAAATAATTAAATTATTTGAACAGCGAGATATTTGCGAGGTCGAACAAAATGTTATCTTGTGTTCATATCGCGGGGAGGCAGGCGCATGCGCACGGCTTTAATAATTACCTTCGTTTAAATATTGTAATTAAATATATTAAAAAAGGTACTTTTATTTATTAAGCTCAAATAACTTTCAAAGTCAATAGTTATGGTTTTTTGGGTTGTATTTTTTTTAATGTTACAACTTCGTATTTTAAAGATACAAAATTTCTTAAGAGACTTAAAAGTAAGACGAGACATTCATTATCATTATCAGACTTTTTATGACATTAAGGTATGAGACTGATGTTCAAGTGGTTTTGGGTTCGTTCCCCACCCTTTACACTATCGACGTGAACATCCCTCCTTACAGAACCATTGGAGGTGGAGGGGTCAACAGAATGTAATGTATCATTGGTATTCTGGTGGTGTAGGTGGTATTCTGTTTCGGAAGACTCAGGAGTCGAGGTATAAGTTTATATGTACATTTACATTACATCAACAGTGCCAACGAACTCTCGGAACATTATATCGTAATCACGAATGAAAATTGCGTTTAGTTTGACTGTTAAGAGAACATGATACCATTAAATATCTGATATGGCCAATTTATCGAGTAAGGCTATAGGCTACATAATATCACACCACCACCAATAGGAGTCGAGCATCAATGAAATTTATTCCTTTTTAAAGACGGAGACGAAGTCGCGAGGATCCTCTAGTGAAATAATAAAATTAATAATTTTATACATGTCTATTCATCTAGTCTATATTTTTAATACAAATTTATAAAAATAACACCTCATTCTTTAACCCGATAACAATAACATAACATATAACGAGCTGAATCGGATTAGAGACTTGGATGTATTTAATGATAGATTCTCCCAGTACAAGAGGGTCATAACACACATAATAAATGCTCAATGTTCGTAGTAAGTATTTCTTTTCTTTTTTGTTAATAATTTAGTTTTAATTTAAATTTTACTTATGTTGTGGATACATGAACTTGAGTAGTGTTAGTGATTATTAAGCGTGGCAAGCATTTGTATTTGCCATATGCCTTGTATTTTGCCATTTTGCCATTTCATGTTCATTAGCATTGAATGGTGTTTGTTTCTACTCTTCTTTATTCCCGGCCGGGTAGTTTATTGATAAGCGGGATAGTTTGTGCTGTGTCTGGGTGTAGTTTGTCTGTGGTGTGTGTGTGTGTGTGTGTGTGTGTGTGTGTTTGGAAGTATATGTGTGTTTGTCGGCGGTCTGGCTGCCGCGTTGCGGGCGGTGCCGAGTCTGGGATCGGACGGTCGTGTGTAAGATGTGTAAGGATGTTATTATTGTTATATGTTTTAACAACGAATCGCTACACTCTTATATTAGGTACATAACCTGTAAAATAGTTTTATTGTGTGTCATAAATAAATAATTTTACCTGGCCTAAAAATATTTAAAAACTTCTACAATTAATGATGGACTAGACAAACCACAACTGCCAATAATCAAAAATCAAACTACTATTTGTTTGTACTTTCTAGAATTTGAAAACAAAAAAACTTAAAAAGTGCATTAGCAAACACTTAGAGTTGCTTTTACCTCGTATGGAATTTATTTTGTTAGAGAGTATTATAAATTATACTATTGTAAATAGAGAGTGGGTAGAGGGGATCGCGACAGTCATTTCCCCCTCTCGGTCAGACGATGTTAATGCTTTGGCAAAACACAAGACTGAAACTAAACCTTTATCACTAATCTTGAACACAACAAACAGATATAGACAATTAAACGAAACAGGCAAGTTCAGTACATTTCTTTATTAAAAATTAAAGACAATCAAAGGGATAGATCAAATTACCGTGTTAATGATAAAATTATTTGTCCTGGGTGTTCAAACCAATTAATTTTAATATAATATGTATGTATTTAGAAATATATAAGTATGTTTATCAGCAGGCTGGTTACCTTAGTACAGGCTCTGTCTGGTTTGGGATCAGACGGCCGTGTATGTGTATGTGTATGTGTGAAGATTGTGTGATTTACACTTGCCATGTCACTTATATATAATCAAATACAGAAAACACAGGTAAATGGTAATTTAATTTACAGTAAAACATATGGTCTAAATAAAATATAGTAAAATATACCTATATATAACGTTGATGTTGCCATGAAGGATTACCAGAGAGATTTAATTTAACACTGTACTGTTTGTTTTAATTATCAGTTTTGTCCTGTTGGTGGATAAGATAGCAAGGCTCCTCTAAAACTATATATACATATAAAATTCCTTGCCCAGACTGACTAATTCATCAACGCAGATCGCTTACAAACTTGAAATTTTGGCAGCTGATCCATTAAGAAAGGATTTTTGAAAATGCCACCCCTAGGAGGTAAAATAAGGGATGAACGGTTGTATGAAAGTTCGTCATTTTTAAAGTTAGAAACACGAAATTAGACACGAATGAAAGAAGCTGCTGGCAATTGCTTGCCTATGATAACACGTCACTTCACAACACACGTCACTATTAATATTAAGAGCTTTTAAAGTTCTCTATGGCTAGGCACCGTAAGAAATAACTTTTCGAAACACTGAGTTGCACTTACCTTTGGTGTCTATGGGCGTTGGTGCAGCAAGGCTGGGGATTTCAGGCTGGGGGGGCTGCACTCTTGGTCCTGGCCACGTGGTAGTACCTCCAGAACAGTACCGGGGTCTAGTCGCTTGGCACCCGTCTGCAGCGTCACGGAGCGTAGATGCGTCTGCTGAATATTCTAGTGGGGAGAAATTACAGAGAAACGTTACATATTTATTTCAAAATGAAAGTAAAATTCCGTAAAGCGTATAATAAACTGTTACACTACTGATTGGGGCTTAATTAGCGGACAGTTTAAACTCTATTATACTACTATAGTACCAAACTGGCAGCTGATATCGTAAGTCTATAAACACGACTTACTCATGGGACTAAAAAATTATATAATAATAATATTCTACCACATTCACACAACGCCATCTAGTCCCAAACTAAGCAGAGCTTGTACTATGGGTACTAGACAACAGATATAAATACACGTAGGTATACTTTTCAGACCAAACCAAACATTAAATGTTCATGCACACAAATGTTTGACTCGAGCGGGAATCGAACCCGCGACCTTTGGAATAGCAGTCCGTTATACAAACCACTACGCCATTCGGTCATCGTATAGACTAGAGGGCGTAGAGTGGTGTGTTACTAAGTTTAAAAGTGGAATTCATCAGTGACGTCACTGCCATGCTTGCCTAATTAACAAGTTTAAAGATCTACTTACTTCTTGTTGTGGAAGACTGCAGCAGACTCGCAGTTTGACCCCCGGGGAACGTTGCGTTTCGCTTGTGTCGACCCTATGGACAAAGATACATGATTTATTATTTTTTATATTTGTATGGGTAAATAATTTTCGCTACTTATGATGGCTGGCAGGAGCTGGATGCGAGAAGCCCAAAATCGATCTAAGTGGCGTGCAATGGGAGAGGCCTATGTCTAGCAGTGGACTGCGATAGGCTGATGATAATGATGATATGTGTTAATTTTATGTAGATATAGACTAGGTTACGTTAAATACTCTTAACAGGTATAAGACACTTCCTACAGTCATAAGGTACTAGATTAAATAATTTTAAATGAAATAAATTTGCAATCGGCCTGAGCTAGGTGTATGACCTGTGTTTCAGACAGTCGCTAATAATAATTAATTATTTTGATAATATCGTTTTCTGTTTAACATATTATGTTAAATACAAAATCTTTTCAATAAACATTTCTTGTTTGTTTCACATGTTTAATAAAACTTGTGGAAATTTATTAGGTTAGGCATGTTTTTATTGGATATTCTCTGGAATTAACAGTAAAATCTATAAATTATGTCTGCATTTGATAGTCCACATTACGAGGAATGTTGTAAGTTAAACACCAAGCTAATGTTCTTAGGAGTTGAGAAGACATCAGGAAACCGCTAATCATCCAATACACATCAGTCATCAGCGGTTGCCATGTGCGACTTACAAACGTAAAACAATTTTTGCCATCATTCTATCATCATAGAGTAGAGCCGCACCTGTCCCTAACAAGTCATTATCACTTCCTGCAACACTTAGGTGGACCAATTAGCCAAGATTCCAATCAGACATCTCTATTACCTTTCCCAAAGCATGGCCATAGTTGGATCTGCGGTGTCCGGTGAAGCGATGTGAAAACGCTTCGATAGCTATCTTTTAATTGTTTGAAAGCACATACCGATTAACTGGTTAACTACTTATTGAATGCGAATTTCGCTCTGATATATTGTCAAGATCTTGATGATGTATTAGAGATTAAATAGACAGATCTACTCCACAATTTGGAGGAGTTCCGTGCAGTTTCTTTTATGATATAGGAGACAAAGAAGAAGATAGGTCACTTGATGGAAAGATTTTTTTCCTTTTTTTATTATTAAAGTGACTACCGCCGCCCATGAACGTCTGCAACTCAGGAGTCAAAAGCGCGTTGTCGGACTCTGTCCTTAAAGATTTATAAGTTGTATAGGTTCGGAAATGCCGCAGGCAGACAATTAGAATGCCGCAGACAACTAGATCCACAGATTGATTTAAGTCCAAAATCTCTTGACAATCGCACAGTGGTGCAGTGTCAATTATCCATGTGATGGGGAATGATAGTTTACAAATGGTAGTTAGATAATGAACCCTTTTCATTGACCTGCTGACTTTTGGCAAAGATTTAAAAGCACTACACCTATGAATTTATTGTTGCTTATAAACACTAGATTTTATGAGCAAAATCAATGATTAATTTTGTACCTTTAATAACGGAGGATTATCATCCATTACCTGGGAGTTGAAGGGTACAAGAGAAGAGGCAGACCGAAGAAAAGGTGGATGGACTGCGTGAGGGAGGATATGGCTAGGAAGGGAGTAAACAGTGAGATGACGCATGACAGAGTAGAATGGAAAAATCATACACACTGCGCCGACCCCAAATAAAATTGGGAAAAGGGTAGGCAGATGATGATATCATCCATTACCTAATACTCGTATGCATAGGGACGTAAGATAAAAGAGAATAGTAATAATAAAAATAAATAAAGTTATTGGTCCATAGGTGTTACAACAGTGAAATATAGCAGAGACAATTGGTATTTACAGTATTATACGCTAAAGTTACATAAAAATTGTTGCACCTTGAAAAAATTTTACCTTATCTCTTAAACTAAGCTATGCCTGTGACTTAAGAGACAGGTTTTAATTAAGAAACTAAATTTCTATAGTCCTCCCTGATCAATCAGATTCCAAGAAATTATCGTTTGGTACAAAAGCCTGGAACCTGATTGGTTGGTGCGAAACTTGATCGATGCGTCACTATTTTCTTAACACGAATGGACTTGTGTCAATACTTTTAATATATAATTGAACACAGTTTTGGAAATATTTAATTGAAGAAAAAGGAAAACCAACTTATTGTTTATAGACCAGTGAGTCTGTAATCATCGTTCCAGTAATTTCTCTTCGTTAATCTGTTACAATTGATTAATTGGCAAATGACTCGGAAACTGGGTCTGCCTTTTAATTAATTTGTAACAATTGAACTATTTTGAAAGGGAAATTATTCTGTTTCAAGTTTTGTTTTGAAATGATTATTACGAGCCAAATTGACTAGAAGAACAAGGTATTGTTATGAGGAAAGAAAGTGTCCGTGCGGTGACGGAGACAAGAATACGGTATGTCACCACCCCATTCATCTAGTGGGTGTCGTAAGAGCAAACTACTCAGAACAACAGCACTGCAAAGAGCAGGAACATTTGAAACCAACCCTTTTTTTTTTTTTTTTTTAACGTGTGGAAATCCCCTCGGACCGTCACCCCTCCGGGATTTGCGGCGGGGTGGTGTGTCGGACTCGGACCGACTAAAACCACACGGTGTGCCACTCTGCGCCTGTAACAGGAGGGATCCGGGAACAGCTGTTGTTAAGACATCCGGACCCCTCCTAGCGCCAGCCCGCTCCTGGTGCGGGCTCCGTCTCAATGTTTTTCCTCTCTTTTTTTTTTAGGCGACGTCCGGCACACGCGGACGCCGCCCCCTCGCGGCTGGCCAAACTAATGCGGGTGGAGGGGAAACCCACCCCGTCCACCCGCGGCCACACTCAGGGCGGCATGAGGCTGTGAAAACCAACCCTATACCAACCCGTCTGGCCAGCGTAATGTAGTAGGCGAAAACCTACATTCTAACGGGAGGCCTATGTCCAGCTGTTGACTAATAAAGGGTGTCGATGATGATGATGTGAGAAAAGAGATCTCCGCAAAGTCATAATTATAAGTTTGTCGTGTCGAGAAGTATCTGTATTTATAAGAACATGTATAATATTAGATTTTTTTTATAGTATTGGGGGGTAAACGAGGAAGAAGTTCACTTGATGGTAAGTGACTGCCGCCATCTATATATCTGTAACTCAAGAGACACAAGTAAACTGAAGCCCTTTGAGTGCCCCCTCCGGTATTTAGAGGGAGGGATGGGGAGTTGGGCTTTCGATTACCTTACACGATTGGTAGACAGACTATACCGAAACACATAACAAATGATAGTGCTCATCACACAATATTCACACGTCCAAGCTTAGCAGCCAAGATTGCTAACCTAAAGCAACAGACTATACAGAGCAAACCTCTGCATAGTGAGTAGTTAATTGTAAAACTTATACTAGGCATACAGCGTGGCAAAAGTTCTTTATAAAAGCTAAATTTCATCTGGACTATGCAAAAAATCTGATATCGTAAATTATATCTGCATGTTGTTATAAAAACCTATGAATCATCTCAATAGAAAATATAAAATTAATTGTTTCGAACATAAAACAATAATGAAATCGGTGCGCCGGCGCCGCCCGGCCCGTTAGCAAGTTGAGATCTCGATTAAGGCCGTTTACATACTGACGATTTAACGCATTTTATATGCAAATGTGAAATGTATGATTTCCTTTTAAAATGATGTAATTATCTTTTAATGAGTCGCTACCGTTTAAAATATCATTTGACCGTAATTTGGCGGAGAAATAATATTCTTTTTCTTTGTTCTTTTCAAGCGTAACGTTTGGTTGTGATATTAGATGGAGAACTAAATTGGTTAGTTGTATTGTCAACACACTAAACGACGTTCTGGAGCATAGGCCCTAGTATAGAAAACATTTAGAAAAGCGATGACACGATAAATATATAACAAAATTTAGCTGTTTGGGTGACTTCAAACAATTGTTACCGAACGGTTTGATTAGAAATGTCGCGACTGTAGATCAGGATTTTTAGACTAATTAAATAATATGCAGTTTTGTCGCAGCTCTGCCGCTCACCTAAAAGATGCAGGTCTTTGAACTGCCCCAGGACCGATTTTACGAGTAGTCGTGATAAGCGCTGGGAACGGATAACAACAATTCTTATCGTTATAGTAAACAGATTGTTGATTGTAAGCAAGAGGCTATGACGTACAGGAAGACATTAATTATAAAACTGTTTACTGCATGTGACTGTCGACAAAAATGGAGCAAATCTAATAGTAGTCACATATGATATGTAACTGTATAACGTCTGACATTACACCTACCAACTTTGGATGGAGTGAAATCACAATCACATGTGATAAATCATATGACTTATAAATCGTATAATCACAGCTGTGACTAATTTACAAAGCCACTCGAACTTATTTTTATTATTAAGCTAGCTCCAGACTCGCTAAAGGTATAAAATCTAAAAGAAAGATAAGTTATCATTAAGAAAAAGGATTTTGATTGATTTGAATGGCATTTATCTTTGTCTAGGACCTAATCACAATCACAGCTAAAATCGCTGTGACTGAAAAGAATCATTTCATTATATGATTTAAAAGTAGCAATGATTTCCATGTCTGCAACTGACTGTCAAATCAAGAACACATGTTGCACATTTTCGTCCCTTTTCACAAATTAGCCAGGCCTGGTGGTCTAGTGGTTGTCGTGGGTTCGATTCCCACCCAGAACAAATAATTATATGTCCGTGTGTGAAATGTATGAGGTTATTATTGTTATCACTTATAGAGATAATAGGAAAGTGGCAGCACAGGTCTGTGCGTTCACCGCAAAGAAGATACCATTTGTCGTATCACTTCGGTTTAAGAGCACCTCCCTAACTGCCTCAGTCAGTATCTGAATCCTAGGCATCGACATAAAAGCGAAGTCCAGTTTCGGGGTCACTTAGAGGGTAAGGTCAAATTGGCCTTGAAGATTGACCTGGAACGGGTTATCGTCTGCGGTATCTATTTTTACTATTTGTATCAAGGCCCTTTTCGTTTAAGCTACAATGTATCAATTTCTTATCTTCGTA